TTAGAATAGTATTACAATTCAGGGGCGTGAAAAAAATGTGTCCTTGCAAGCCTTGGTGTCTACATGTGTGAGGGTGGGGGTACAAATTGTGATTCTTATAAAGTGCGTTACTTGAATGCTCGTTTTGTCAAATTTTCAGCCCCTCCCCCTTCCCTCCCACTTGCTCGTTATTACATTTTATAAAGAATGTATACGATAAACTTTCTTTTAGGGTTGTTGAGACTTTGTTTTTATTTTGATTGAAAAACTGAAAATGTAAATAGGTGACTTTAGACTTGAATATTCATAGAAAAGAGCTGGACACATGGGATAGTGTTACGTATAAAGTTGAAAATCGGTAATTTGTGGAGTTATTTGACATTTTTCAAAAAAATTTTTTTTAGCTTAAACAAATTAATGAAAGGGGCGTATGTCCCAAATTACCAGGGCTGAGATGAAAAAAAAAACAATTGGTGAAGATACCGGACAAAAGTAAAAGAGATGAGTGAGTAATTAACTTGATATCAGTCGAGCGTATGGTCGTACAATAAAGGCTTGAATGAGTGAGTAATTAACTTGATATCAGTCGAGCGTATGGTCGTACAATAAAGGCTTGAATGAGTGAGTAATTAACTTGATATCAGTCGAGCGTGTGGTCGTACAATAAAGGCTTGAATGAGTGAGTAATTAACTTGATATCAGTCGAGCGTATGGTCGTACAATAAAGGCTTGACAGCTTGGGAAACAATGAAACACAAAGTGTAGATTTTGGAACAGGTACCACGAATGAGTTCCAGTTATGAGTTGTATAGTTAGCTTGTAAATGTGGAATGTCCATGCAGACAACGGGTAGAGTAAGTTGAATTAAGTATCTTGATAGGATAACCCAAACTTTACAGCTGTTATAAGCCGGTAGAGACACGCAATAGTCGTCTGGGTAAAGGATCTGTAGGGTTTAGTAATGTGGCAAGTCTCTAGTAACGTAGAAGGGTTTCTAGTAATGTAGCAGGGTCTTAAATGATGTAACAAGTCTCTAGTAATGTAGCAGGGTCTCTAGTAATGTAGCAGGGTCTCTAGTAATATAGCAGGGTATCTAGTAATGTAGCAGGGTCTCTAGTAATGTAGCAAGTCTCTAGTAATGTAGCAGGGTCTCTAGTAATGTAGCAGGGTCTCTTATAGTGTAGCAGGGTATCTAGTAATGTAGCAGGGTGTCTAGTAATGTAGCAGTGTCTCTAGTAATATAGCAGGGTATCTAGTAATGTAGCAGGGTCTCTAGTAATGTAGCAGGGTATCTAGTAATGCAGCAGGTTCTCTAGTAATGTAGCAAGGTCTCTAGTAATGTAGCAGGGTCTCTAGTAATGTAGCAGAGTCTCTTATAATGTAGCAGGGTCTCTAGTAATATAGCAGGGTATCTAGTAATGTAGCAGGGTATCTAGTAATGTAGCAGGGTCTCTAGTAATGTAGCAGGGTCTCTAGTAATGTAGCAAGGTCTCTAGTAATGTAGCAGGGTCTCTAGTAATGTAGCAGGGTCTCTAGTAATGTAGCAGGGTATCTAATAATGTAGCAGGGTCTCTAGTAATGTAGCAAGTCTAAAGTAATGTCGCAGGGTCTCTAGTAATGTAGCAAGGTCTCTAGTAATGTAGAAGGGTCTCTAGTAATGTAGCTAGGTCTCTAGTAATGTAGCAGGGTCTCTAGTAATGTAGCAGGGTCTCTAGTAATGTAGCAGGGTCTCTAGTAATATAGCAGGGTATCTAGTAATGTAGCAGGGTCACTAGTAATGTAGCAAGTCTCTAGTAATGTAGCAGGGTCTCTAGTAATGTAGCAGGGTCTCTTATTATGTTGCAGGATATCTAGTAATGTAGCAGGGTATCTAGTAATGTAGCAGGGTCTCTAGTAATGTAGCAAGTCTAAAGTAATGTCGCAGGGTCTCTAGTAATGTAGCAAGGTCTCTAGAAATGTAGCTGGGTCTCTAGTAATGTAGCAAGGTCTCTAGTAATGCAGCAGGGTCTCTAGTAATGTAGCAGGGTCTCTAGGTATGTAGCAGGGTCTCTAGTAATGTAGCAGGGTATCTAGTAATGTAGCAGGGTCTATAGTAATGTAGCAAGTCTCTAGTAATGTAGCAGGGTCTCTAGTAATGTAGCAGGGTCTCTAGTAATGTAGCAGGGTCTCTAGTAAGATAGCAGGGTCTCTTGTAATGTAGCAAGGTGTCTAGTAATGTAGCAGGTTCTCTAGTAATGTAGCAGGGTCTCTAGTAATGTAGCAAGTCTAAAGTAATGTCGCAGGGTCTCTAGTAATGTAGCAAGGTCTCTAGAAATGTAGCAGGGTATCTAGTAATGTAGCAGGGTCTCTAGTAATGTAGCAAGTCTAAAGTAATGTCGCAGGGTCTCTAGTAATTTAGCAGGGTCTCTAGTAATATAGCAGGGTATCTAGTAATGTAGCAGGGTCTCTAGTAATGTAGCAGGGTCTCTAGTAATATAGCAGGGTATCTAGTAATGTAGCAGGGTCACTAGTAATGTAGCAAGTCTCTAGTAATGTAGCAGGGTCTCTTAATGTAGCAGGGTCTCTTATTATGTTGCAGGATATCTAGTAATGTAGCAGGGTATCTAGTAATGTAGCAGGGTCTCTAGGTATGTAGCAGGGTCTCTAGTAATGTAGCAGGGTCTCTAGTAATGTAGCAGGGTCTATAGTAATGTAGCAAGTCTCTAGTAATGTAGCAGGGTCTCTAGTAATGTAGCAGGGTCTCTAGTAATGTAGCAGGGTCTCTAGTAAGATAGCAGGGTCTCTTGTAATGTAGCAAGGTGTCTAGTAATGTAGCAGGTTCTCTAGTAATGTAGCAGGGTCTCTAGTAATGTAGCAAGTCTAAAGTAATGTCGCAGGGTCTCTAGTAATGTAGCAAGGTCTCTAGAAATGTAGCAGGGTATCTAGTAATGTAGCAGGGTCTCTAGTAATGTAGCAAGTCTAAAGTAATGTCGCAGGGTCTCTAGTAATTTAGCAGGGTCTCTAGTAATGTAGCAGGGTCTCTGGTAATGTAACAGGGTCTCTAGTAATGTAGCAGGGTCTCTAGTAATGTAGCAGGGTCTCTAGTAATGTAGCAGGGTCTCTAGTAATGTAGCAGGGTCTCTAGTAATGTAGCAGGGTCTCTAGTAATGTAGCAAGGTCTCTAGTAATGTAGCAGGGTCTCTAGTAATGTAGCAGGGTCTCTAGTAATGTAGCAAGGTCTCTTGTAATGTAGCAGGGTCTCTAGTAATGTAGCAGGGTCTCTAGTAATGTAGCAGGGTCTCTAGTAATGTAGCAGGGTCTCTAGTAATGTAGCAATATCTCTAGTAATCTAGCAGGATCTCTAGTAATCTAGCAGGGTCTTTAGTAATGTCACAGGGTCTCTAGTAATGTAGCAAGATCTCTAGTAATGTAGCAGGTTCTCTAGTAATGTATCAAGGTCTCTAGTAATGTAGCAGGATCTCTAGTAATCTAGCAGGGTCTCTAGTAATGTAGCAGGGTCTCTAGTAATGTAGCAGGGTCTCTAGTAATGTAGCAATATCTCTAGTAATCTAGCAGGATCTCTAGTAATCTAGCAGGGTCTTTAGTAATGTCACAGGGTCTCTAGTAATGTAGCAAGATCTCTAGTAATGTAGCAGGTTCTCTAGTAATGTATCAGGGTCTCTAGTAATGTAGCAGGATCTCTAGTAATCTAGCAGGGTCTCTAGAAATGTAGCAGGGTCTCTAGTAATGTAGCAGGGTCTCTAGTAATGTAGCAGGGTCTCTAGTAATGTAGCAATTTTATTTGCATTAAAAGAAAATTAAACACAGGTCCTTGTTTGGAAATCATCAAGAAACTTGTAGTGGGAAGAAGAAAAATTGGAATTTTGTTTAAACATAAAATTTAATAAATTAATCCAAAAATATTAAAATGAAAATTATTGAGATTTTAAGATAATATTTGTATATATATATATATATATATATATATATATATATATATATATATATATATCAGAGTATTTTTGGGGGTATAAATAAGAGCTATATTATTATATATATAATTATATAAAAATATAAAAAAAAAAATTATTGAGATTTTAAAATAATATATATATATATATATATATATATATATATATATATATATATATATATATATAAATCAGAGCATTTTTGGGGGGATAAAAATGATTGCTATTATTTAATAAATAATTGTACAATTTCAGAGAATGGACTGCATCTGGATCCTATACGTAATGCTGGTTTTGTGTTCGCACGCCACTGTGACAGTCTGGGGTATCAAGGGTAATTTATCAATGACAAATGACAACATAGGCGTAGAGCCACACACGAATGTAAGTCTCAATCACAAAGACACAAGCCGAGATTTTGGAGCAAGTATAACACAGAGAATACTCGAGCTCGGCGAGAAGTCGACGAATTCACCAAAACAAAACGTGAAAGACCCACTGCACTTCTATAGTGGTGAGGACAGAAGTCATGTACGAGGTCACGGTAAAATAGGTAAACATAAGAAAAATGAGGATTCACAGCTAAATGAGAAATCTGAAACTGCAGAACTTGACAGTGTATCTCCAACAGATAAACCGTCCACGTTGTCTTCTTTGACAAAAGGCGCTTCAGTAAAAATGAAAAATGTTCAGAATGATTGGGATTTTTGGCAAGATTACGGTAACCATCGTGACCATTTTAAATGCGACCCGTGCAATTGTTCAAAAACAGCCAACAAGAAACTGCACGTGAAAGCCACGTGCCAAGGTAATCTCATGAGTGATATTCCGAGAAATATCTCCAATCATTTATGGTCACTGGAGGTGTTTAAGACGCCGATGTACAGTTTAAACATTTCACGACTTCTAGAGTATGCAACTTTGAACGAAGTGAACATAACGCTGAACAATATTTCCATAGTATATTTGACGGGTGATGTCAGAAACAGGACGTCTGAAGTCTCAAAGATGTGGTTAACTTCAAATAAAATTACACACATTGAGGATAACAGTTTCTCGATCTTTCCATTGCTTCGATTATTGAGCTTAAAGAATAATAATTTACAAAACATAAGAAATGCTACGTTCCAGATGCTCGTAAATCTGACAAGTTTAGATCTGTCTCACAACGCATTACATTTCATTGAGTCAGGTGCGTTCAGAAAGTTAGAACACTTACGGACGCTCGATCTCAGCTTTAATAAGATGATTCATTATACAGTCAAATATTTTCCAATTAACTTATTCACTTCACTTGCAAAACTCGAAGAACTTTCAATTCAGGGCCTCTCGGAAGACCATGACTTACATTATCCAGAGGCCGCCCTATCGCAATTAGTAAACCTCAAATCCTTAAAAATAGATGGTCTCAACACTACTTTCGGTAGTGGAGTAAGATCTTTAAAGCACTTGCATTTTGTCACGATTACTTCCTCATGGCCTACAAAGATCTGCTACTTGAAGACTATAAATTCAACATTTTTTATAAACCTGCCTTATTTAAAGAAACTGGAAATTTCCTTCTGTCCTATATCACAAGTTGATCCATTGGCCTACAAAAAAGTTAACCTTACAAGTTTATCTTTCAGTTTTTTAAATCAATATGATCTTTACAAAGCTTTTGATGATCTCAGCGGCTTTCAAAACTCTTCTTTGAAAAATCTTACCTTTATACATTTGTACCTATCGGCAATGCCCTGCCGCTATTTGAACAGTGCCCAGGCAAAATATTTGCAAAACATCGCCCTTGAGGTCCTCGATCTGTCGGACAACCGGCTTGCGTTGCTTGGTGAGGATTTTGCGAGCAGTCTGCCCCAAACATTACGCATTCTCATTTTGAGGAATAATCGATTTTCTTTGTATGGCCTTGTTATCACGCAAGTCAGTCACCTTATGGAGCTGACCGAAATTGATATCAGCATCCAAAACCAAGTGGAGCCTTATTTTGTCCAAGAAGGTTTTTATATACCATCACCCGATGCAAATGAAAGGATTTGTCCTGCAGAAAGTCCATCTCATTATGAGCTCTCAAGCATGAGCCAAACAGAGGGTTGTGCTTACCCCAAAGATGAAAAAAAGGACGAAATAAAATTGAACAAAAACTCAAGTGAAGGTTTAGCTGCCCGTCGTTACATGGAGACGTCGGTAGACGCCAGAAACATCATCCACACTGAGTCCACCAAGAAAATGTTACATGCACGCGTTCAGAGAGTTCCATTAAATTTACCTCCAAACCTTCGAGTTTTAAAGGCCTCTCAGTACTATAGTTTAGGCACAATTCTCCTTCACAGCTCTTGGAATAGAACTAAACTGTCTGAAATAGATTTCTCAAAAGGTTTTCTTACCCAATGGAGTGAAGGGCATATACATGAGACAATCACTAAAATTGACTTGAGTGAAAACTATTGCAAACACATTAACCGAACGTTCTTTCAATCTAAAAATTCCTTGATTTACTTGAACATGCACAACAATGCACTCGGTGCTGATTTTGCTGAAGATAACGATGGTGCTATTCTTGCCGAATTGGCTAATTTAAAGTACTTGGATATTTCATACAACCTGATTTACAAACTTCCATCCGAATTCTTCAAGGGATTAACTGCTCTCGAAACACTTAAACTTTCTAAAAACGAACTCCAAACTTTAAATACGACATTTTCTCAAATGACCAGATTGAGGTACCTGGACTTAAGTAGAAACTCTATCGTCTGGATCAGTGAAAAAGTACGCAATGACCTTGACCAGATAGGAGAACAGCTTTCGGTTGACCTAACACTAAACCCTTTACCCTGCACGTGCGCGGCCATTGAAATCTTAAACTGGATGGCGAACACAAAAGTTCAGTTGCAGAAGAAAGATTTCCTGCAATGTCGTTTTGAAAATGGTGAAATTGAATTCATAGGTGATTTGGAACAAAGAGTCAGCAGTTTAAAAAGAATATGTGCTTCTAAAGCTCTCGTTATCGTTATCTGTGTAGCTTCAATGGTCATATTTGGGGATTAATCTACAAAAACCGTTGGAAATTACGATATCTGTTAAACACAACAAAGTCTCGACTGTTTGGTTTTAAACCTAAGGGTGAAATGAAATCCAGATTTAAATTCGATGCTTACTTCATCTACACAGACCAGACGCGTAGTTTTGTGTTACAGGACTGCATTCAAGAACTCGAGGAGAAACGTGGCCACAAGCTGTGTGTTGAGGATCGAGATTTTATGCCCGGATCACCAATCATTGCAGATATTCTCAGTGGCGTGAGAAACAGTCACAAGACAGTTCCGGTGATCACCCCAGACTTTTACATCGATGGAGACTTTACGGAATACAGCGTCAAGATGGCGTTGATGGAAGAGAACTACGAACGTAGACAGGCTCTCCATCTGTGTATCCTTGAGCCGACGGATCATGAAGAGATGGGCAACGATCTACTGGCGGCAATGAAGCGTAACTCTTACACGGAGTATCCTCCCTTAGATCAGGCAAATGAAGAACTGATACAAAGTTTTTGGGACATGTTGTCTGCAAAAATTGGCCATACCGCTCTTTGTGATCGTGGGGAGAAAGTTTTGGAATAGACACCACTTGAATATAAACTGGATATAAATTGATCATTAGAACTTTGCCTTTGCTTAGTTCTCACATTTATTTATTGTTTTTTAAATGATAAAACCCATACACTTTATGTTCTAAATGTGATTTCTCAGAATTTATTTACACGAATCTTTTATAAAATGCTATTTTTGACTATTTTGACTCAGTTGTAATCAATTGCTCAACAAAATTTCGACTTTTTCGAAAGTTTGGTTTATTAAGTAATGTTGCTTTTCCGTCTATGTTTTATTGGATAAATATTTTGTTAAATCTTTTTATTGATGTCGTGTCGATGGCTCAGTGCTCCTAGTATGCAAGGTATGTTTTAAAGTATTTCCAAACGATTAGTCATTGTTGCCCTCATTCACCATGCGCTTCATAATCTGAATTTAGTCATTGTTAATCGCGAATTCCTGTGACACTTTTCTTAATACGTAGTTAAACTTTCTAAATCATTGCTTTAAACCCCCCCCCCCAAAAAAAAATTAAGAAAAGAAAATTGATTTCTATAGCTTCCTAATATGTATTAAAAAAAACTTTTAAATATGATGGATAGTTAGCTCACTGAAATCTTCAAATGTCTTTAAATCTATTTTGCTTTAAACCCCCCCCCCCCCAAAAAAAAAATTAAGAAAAGAAAATTGATTTCTATAGCTTCCTAATATGTATTAAAAAAAACTTTTAAATATGATGGATAGTTAGCTCACTGAAATCTTCAAATGTCTTTAAATCTATTATCAAGTCAAATCACACTGATTATCCTTTTTTTGCACCATTTCGAAACAGAGCGATGATGTCCAGACACTTAGAGACTGCACGGGAATTGTTTGGAATAGTGCACCAAGGCTCACAACAGGGGACTAGAAGCATTGGGCAGAGTTCTTTAAGATGTATGGAAAGAAAATTTTAATGTCTTATGGTGGATTAATAAGCTACTGACCAACGACTGCAGGCAGACATTACCCGTCTTTCCAAGGAAAGCGTGCCCGGTGAGGTCAAAGCCTGCCTCAAGTTGTCACAGTCACTGCCTGAATTTTAAAGTGAGATAATGGCCCGTTAATATTAGGTCCCATCTGGCGAAAATCAGAGATTACCCGGAGTGTATGATATGTCGATGAGTGATCGATCTGCAATCAAATGTTAGGTTAATAGGCAAATACACAAAAGTAAAACGGGAAAAAAATCTACACGTGTCTCCCAGGAGATCATTTTGCTAATTTGAAAGAATTTCTTTTGAATTCAATTCATTATTGGCACCGCCCTGTATCTATTTGTGTGAGAGGAGATTTAACAAAAATAAAATGTTAAAAAAATAATCAAATATCTAATATAGAGCTTCAGCAGATTTATCTAACAAGCACTTGGAAGTAATTTTGATGTGAGAGAGAAATTTGTGACGAGTCGCAAAAAGCATTATTTCCATGCTTCTCATGCTTATGATTGAAAGACGCTCGTGCCATGAATGTGTTTGTTCAGCTAATTATATTTGATTTGGATTCTTAATTATTTTTATTTTATCTCATAATGTCTTTAATGAATATTTTTTTTTAGTTCATGTCGCCTTTTGACAAGGAAAAATTTGTTTAAAATATGTGATTATATAACAAAAACATTTAGCAGATACTTCGATCACAAATTTGGTTACATTGAATTTTACCCAGGAGTCCATCCGCCATCAGAGTCCGAGGTTTTCTTACAGGGCCTAATAAAAAAATATTAATTTGACACCCGAATTAGACATTTCATCATTTCAGATACCCATATTTTATTGTCCACACACATGATGTTTTTAAATTTATTACTGATGCCTTTTTTTGTTTGTTTGCATTAAAGCCTGAAGAAAATTCATAACCCTTATGGTTTGTGTTGTTCTAACATATGCATTAGTTTTGAGTCCTCCAAAGTAAACCTGCAATTATTTAAATGTAATAACTTTATATATACTTACATTATATATTTAAATATACATATATATGTTATTGATATAAGGAATTTTTGAAATATAAATTTTATTGGTATATAATTATTGTCAAGATAATGTACAATACATATAGAAATATCTCTTTCTTCACTTAAAGACATTTAGTTAGTTATTTATACACGGTGTGCCCCGAACAAGGAGGAGCCCCCCCCCCTCCCGACAGACGTTAGAAGAACGAAACGAACGACTAAGTGGATTGTTTTTATTTACTTCCTTACCAGCTACAGCCGATGGTGGGTTGACTGAAGGAGGCATTATTTGTAAAAAAAAAAGAAAATAGATATAAAAAAAATTTGAAACAAAAAACAATGCACTCATTCATTCATCGTTTCCTGTTGTCATCGGAAGCGTTGCACAGTTTTAAGGAGACCAAAACCCTTATGTTATCCTTGGTAAGGAGACCAAAACCCTTATGTTATCCTTGGTAAGGAGACCAAAACCCTTATGTTATCCTTGGTAAGGAGACCAAAACCCTTATGTTATCCTTGGTAAGGAGACCAAAACCCTTATGTTATCCTTGGTAA